TAGCTTATTGTTCCCTGTGGAATCCTTGGGTACTGTGGTTTCCTAGATTCATTTTCACTGTCTACTTCAGGAGAGTCTATTGGTAGAAAACTGAAAATACAAATGAATATATTATCGGATTTGTAATAGAGACACCTCGGTCTTTTCCTAAGTAGGTAACTAGTTTTAGGGAGGGAGGGAGAAATAAAGTTTGTAATGTAGAGGAAAGAGTTAATCAGTTTGGGCTATTTGCTTTGTAAACTGTCTTGTACCAAAAATCCTTATCTGCCGAAACTGGTTTGGCTCAGTGGATAGAGCGTCAGCCTGCGGACTGAAGGGTCCCAGGTTCGATTCCGGTTAAGGGCATGTACCTGGGTTGCGGGCACATCCCCAGTAGGAGATGTGCAGTAGGCAGCTGATCGATGATTCTCTCTCATTGATGTTTCTGGCTCTCTATCTCTCTCCCTTCCTCTCTGTAAAAAATCAATAAAATATATTTAAAAACAAATCCTTATCTGAGCTTTGTAGTTTGCTAAAGACAGTTTTCTTGATGAGATCTTTATAATTGTAACTTTACCCTTGCCATGAAATTGGCTATTAGAATCTCTTTAAAGTAGGGGTTTCCTTACAGAATTGTTTCATATGTTTAATCCTCACCTGAGGACATGCTTAGAGGGAGGGAGGGAGAGAGAGACATTGATATTCAACCTTGATATTGCCTTCCATATGCTCCCTGACTGGGGATCAAACCCGAAACCCAGGTAAATAAGCCCTGACCTGGAATCGATCTCTTGTGGTGCACGGGATGACGCTCAACCAACTGAGCCACTCTGGCTGGGCCTATTTGTTTATTTTATACTTCTTTGAGTTCCAGACCTGTAAAATTTTCCAAGGATGCTTTATATCCATTAAAAACTCCAACATTTGATTTAACATTTTTTCTGCTAAGGAAATCTTTAATTCTCCTAAAAACTTTATTTCACAAGCTAGAAGGATAAATACCAACATTTCCTCTGGGCATTGGGACATGGATGATTTTTTTCTCCTTCATACTTAACTATTGTTTGTTTGTTTGTTTAGAGAGAGGAGAATGGAGAGGGAGAGAAACATTGATGGGTTGTCTCCTGCACACCCTCTATGGGCAATCAAGCCCACAACCCGGGCATGTGTTCTGCCCAGGAATTGAATTGACAACATTTTGGTGCATGGGATAACATCCAAGCAAATGAAACACACTGGCCAGGGCTGTTTTTAAAGTTTTATTTAGAGAATATTAATTTCATGTTACTTTTGATGTAGAGTGCTTCTCTCTGGTGCTTTGCCAGATCAACATTGAAGGTGTTTTTTTTTAACAAGTTTTAAAGATTTTTTTTATAACTACTACTTTTAGACATATAATAAAATAATCCTGCTTTTTCAAATAGGAAACTTAAAGTGAGCCATTATTTTTAAAGAATTTTTTGAGGCCCAGCAGGTGTGGCTCAGTGATTGAGGGTTGACCTGTGAGCCAGGAGGTTGGTTGTGGTTCCATTCCTGGTCACATGGGTGGGTTGCAGGCTAGATCCCCCCAGGGTGCGGCCTGCAGGAGGCTGCCGATAGATGATTCTCTCCCATCATTGATGTTTCTCTCTCTCACTCTTCCTCTCTGAAATCAATAAAAATAAATTTTTTTAAAAAAGAATTTTTGTGAGGCATATGAATTAGGTCTCTTTCTTTTCTAGGGAAGTAACACATTTAGTGTCCTGTTTGTTTTCTCTTTTAAAAAAGGTTAATGGACTTGAGTGGAATACAATGATGTGGGTTGAATGGCAGTTGAGACTTTAAACAAAGGGTAATGGTGAGTGGCTGTGTGCCCAGTTGATGAAGTCTGTCTGGTCTCTGCTCCATAACTTCACAAATGATCTGTAATAGGAGCATCACAGCGGAGTTTTTTCCTTTGAGATATGTTAATGAAGAAGGGAGGGAAACTCTGAGAAAGACAATTTAATGCTTCTAATTTGATTTTTCTTTTCTTCCTGTGATCATTTAGTTTAAGTTGAAAGACTTTATTCCAGAAAAATGTAAAATTTCCCTGTAATATTAATGAATGAGCAGGAATTAAAAAGCGACAAGAGCCAGCTTTGAAATGTGGATTTGTATACAACCAAGAAGGAATAGTATTGCAGGGTAGAAAAAGCTGGAAGACATTACTTGACACTGGAGGCCAAGTGGTTGAAAATGTGTACCTGAACAAAGTTATGCCTTCATGTAGTATGTATATAGCATTAAACTGAATGCTGTGAGTAGAAGTTTTACAGTCCTCAGTGCTTGCTTGTATCGGGGCTTTGCATAGAGTCGATACTAAATAAATATATGTTGAATAGTCCATATTTGGTCTAATGGCACTTTTATGTTTTGAGATAGATTAGTAATAAGGACTAGGAATAGGAAGAAAACATTAAAATTGAAATTCTGTGAATTTCTTGTTTGTTCAAATTATTGCTTTTTGAAGATAAAGTACTTTAAAGCTCCAAGGAGTTTTCTGGGTGGAAAAAAAAAGTAAGCAGCTTTCCATTGAAAGACTTTAAGTTGGCTAAGATTTGTGCTATAAAAGCCTTTGTATAGTTCTGTGATCTTGAAACCTCATATTGTATATTGCTTGAACAAAATCAGAAGGCTCTTAGATAACCCTGATTCTGGCTCTGTTTTCTGTAGCCCCAGAGAATAAGAAAAGGAGAATCTGATATTGCTGGCAGTCCGTGCTCTCTTACTTTTCTGGCCAAGACATGCATTTAAAAATAAAATCAAGGAAACTGTAAACCAGTAGTAAAAATGAATAAAGCATCCAGGGGTTTGCCTTCTCTCATGTCCTGTCACCTGAGTCTCTCCTTTTTTTGTTTTTAGACTCTGATATTAAACCAGTGTGGCAAAAATGTCCTCTGGGCTTCTCCTTCACTCTTCTCCTTTCAAATGTATGGGAAATAATCTTGAAAGATATCATAAGGACATTCTTAGAGAGAGAGGAGGGCCAGGGGCGAGGGGGGGGAGAGACAGAGAGACAGAGAGAGAGGAAGAAGAAGGAGGAGGAGGACGAGGAAGAGGAAGAAGAAAAGGCAGGAAGGAGGAAGGAAGGAAGGAAACAAACATCCATTGGCTGCCTTCTGAAGGTGCTTTGACAGGAATTGAACCTGCAACCTATGTGTGTGCCCTGACCAGGAATCAACCGGCAACCTTTCAGTGCACAGGGCGACCCTCTAACCAACTGAGCCATTCCAGCTGGGCATGTTATTATGTATTTATTGGTTTTAATATATGCTGTTTCTAATAGCCTCTGGATACATTTACAAGTGCAGTTTAAAAAGCCTGCAAACTTCTTTACTGATCTAATTTGTGTTATAGATTGTGGCAATGGGATTGGGAAACTATTTAAAAATGACCCTTTTGGACCTGCTACAGGAAGAAAGCTTAGGTGAATAAATGTATAAAAACCCGATACAATGTTGCTATGGAATATCTTTTTTAAAAAATATATTTCATTGATTTTTTACAGAGAGGAAGGTAGAGGGATAGAGAGTTAGAAACATGATGAGAGAGAAACATCGATCAGCTGCCTCCTGCACATCTCCCACTGAGGGTGTGCCGGCAACCCAGGTACATGCCCTTGACCAGAATCGAACCCGGGACCCTTCAGTCCGCAGGCCGACGCTCTATCCACTGAGCCAAACCAGTCTCGGCTGCTATGGAATATCTTGATGCCTGTTGCTTACCTTTAGTTGATAGCATATCCTATCTCTTTAGATCATTTTTTCCCCTTTGAGCTTGTGAATTCTTGATTTCTGTTTTAAAATATGGTTATAAAATTTGGTTTTCAACTCATTTTATCTTAGTGACATTTATATTTAGGCTTTTTAATGGTTATTAATTTGAGATTAAGGAAAGACATGAGTACAGGGACACTTTTTAAAAATTTATTTTATTTTTTTAGAGAGAGGAAGGAACAGGGATACAAAGATAGAAACATCAATGAGAGAAACATCATTGCTCGGCTGCCTCCTGCCCGCCCACTGCTGGGGATCCCACCAGAAACACAGGCATGTGCCCTGATCAGGAATCAAACTGGTCAGTGATCTCTTAGTTCTTGGCTCAATGCTCAACCACTGAGCCACACCGGTGTGCACAGGGATGCTTTTTGAGCTTTGTTTTTGGTACTTTCTAGCTTGCAAGTTATTGTGGATCAGGCCTAGGATAGCTGAAGTTCTCAATTATTACTATGAAATCAAGTGCTATTTTTATTTATTGATGATCATCTGTCTGGTGTAACTTTGCTCTGAGCTAAGTAAGACCTAGAGAAAGACTTCATTCTGTTCCAAGAAGCATACAACTTAGAAAAACGTTGTATGTTTCTTGGAACAGAATGAAATCTTCCTTTTGAATTCTGACTGCTTTACTTCTCTGAAAAAAACAAATGCACAGATCGGATTTGTAAATGACCTTTTTTCTTAAGGTGTCTTCCAACAGAATGTGTCTTGGGAGAGCTGAGTGGCAGCCCACATTTAGCTGGGAGTGGCCGTTCATATCCCTGAATTATAGACCCTTTGTCGACACACAGTAACTTTGGAGCAGACTTGGAATTTAAACTTATACTTTTCTCATTTAATCAGTTTGATCTATTTTATAATAATTTTGACTTATTATAATTATATTTTGTGTGTCTGTTATATTTCTAATATATATATAGGGAAGCTGAAACTTCCTGAGTAGAAACTTGCTTTGAAGAACTTGGAAGTTTTTTTTTTTTTTAAATATATTTTATTGAATTTTTACAGAGAGGAAGGGAGAGAGATAGAGAGTTAGAAACATCGATGAGAGAGAAACATCGATCAGCTGCCTCCTGCACATCTCCTACTGGGGATGTGCCTGCAACCCAGGTACATGCCCTTGACCGGAATCGAACCTGGGACCTTTCAGTCCGCAGGCTGACGCTCCATCCACTGAGCCAAACCGGTTTTGGCAACTTGGAAGTTTTGACAGAGAAGATACTAAATAATATAATTTATGCAATATGATGGTTTGGAAAGAAGTGGCAGCATGTATAAGTCACTGAAATGTCATTGGGTTTGTATTTAATTGTTTTTATGAATAGGGAGAGGAACGATTAAGACTTGAATATATTTAGCTCTTTTGCAAGAGAATCACTAGAACAGTTTTATTTCTTCAGAACTGTATATTACATGGTAATATTTCTTGAAGGAAGCTTGCTGAAGAAAAAGCAGATCAGGCTTTCTGAATTTGCCAGATCCAGAACATAAAAAACAGTGCTTTGACATGAAAAAGAAGAAGGGGTGGAGGGGGAAGAAAAGGCCTGCTGGATCCACCCCCAGGAATCCTAGTGGGTCTCCATGGTAACAGCCTCCTTGCTTACAACTTGTCACTGTGTAACTGTCATTGGGGTTCAAAGAAAAGCCAGTATCCCAAGAACTGTGTGGCATTAAGTACTTTTTGATAAAATGCTGTTGTACATTTGCATTGAGCCAGAAATAGAAAGTTTAAGGTTTTAATTCTGTGTTCCATTAATGAGATGCTTAAAAAAGCTGCCTAATTATAGTAAGGTGCAGTAGTTGAAAAAGTGGTGGCTGAAGTAGGCATAGAAGGAAGCCATAGTCTCAGAATGTTGGAATCTTTAGAGATTTTTCTCTAATCTTTTCATTTTGCAAATGAGAGAACTGAAATGCGTTACTTAGGTTCACATAGAAGCAGAAGCAGGATTCCAGCCCATCTAATTTTCTGGCATACCTGTTCTGTTGTCCCCACCCATGCATTGTGTTTACCATGCCTTACTTTTCATAAATAAAGCCTCATTTTCTGAGGTTAGGAAAGGACCTTAGAGATTGTGCAGGGAAACTTTCTACCCAGGGAAAGAATCTGTTCTATATTCTGGACAGGTGGCCTCTGCCTCTTCCCCCTTTCCTCAGGTTGGGCTACCTAAAAACCCGCTGCCTAAGTTCAAAGAGAATGCAGTTTTACATGGATTTCCCACTGTAAAGCTATATGTGTTGTTTTTCTCCCCTTAGTAAAGAGCAGTTGAAAATCAGACCCGAGTGTTTTTCATTAGCCTGTTTATCTCCATTTAAGTCATGCGTGTCAGTCATGACAGGACAGATAATTCATTAAAAGAATTATGTTACCACCTAACCTAGAACTTTGAGGAGACAATGCCATATTTGGAGCAAACTAGTTCTTTAACAGATGGGAGGAAAGAGATGATGAATGCTATGTTCAGCTTAAAGTACCTTATAATGAACGTAATGTGATGAAATGATTGTGAGCTAAAGAGTATCAAAAGAGCCCAGCCGGCATGGTTCAGTGGTTGAGTGTCAACCTACGAACCAAAAGATCACGGTTCAATTCCTGATCAGGGCACATGTCTGGGTTGCAGGCTCAATTCCCAGTGAGGAGCCTGCAAGAGGCAGCCAATCAATGATTCTCTCTCATCATGGATGTTTCCCTCCTCCCTCCCCCTCCCCCTCTTCCCCCCTCTCGGAAATCAATAAAAATATATTTAAGGGGGGAAAAGACTTCACATTGATTGTGGGCAGGAGAGGTAGAGACAGACCATGGGGAGAGGGCGAGAGGAAGAGATATGACTGCATGCTTACTCTTTTGTAAACAAATCAACTTGAGTCAAGCTACCTCAGTGAAGACAGTCACTTATTTGGAGCATCCTAGGACAGGACCAGTCCATATAGTCCAAATGCTGCAGTATCTTCCTGGACTTTTCTTGCTTATTGAGGCCCAGTCTTATAAGAGTAATGGAATGATTTATTTTTGTAGCCACTCCCTTTCATGTGGTAGTATAATTTTTTTTAAAATATATTTTTATTTATTTCAGAGAGGGAGATAGAAACATCAATGATGAGAATCATTGACTGGCTGCCTCTTGCACGCCCCACACTGGGGATCAAGCTTGGAACCCGGGCATGTACCCTGACTGGGAATTGAATCATGACCTCCTGGTTCATAGGTCGATGCTCAACCAACGAGTAAACTAGTAATCAGTAATGTGAATATGAATTCACTGTCTCATTTTAGAAGTTTGTATTTTTTTTTAGTGTTTACTTTTTTATATTCTATGTAATAAAAGCCTAATATGCTAAGTGTCCAGTTGGCCGTTCAACCAATCAAAGCGTAATATGCTAATGATATGCTAAAGCTGCTCAACCACTCGCTATGACTCGATATGACCATTGGGGGCAGTGACCATTGGGGACAGACACTCCGACTGGTAGGTTAGCTTTCTGCTGTGGTCCAGCTGATTAGGACTGAGCGAGTTGGCCTGGACACGCCCTGGAGCCCTCCCCTGTGGTCCCTCCCTGGCTGGCCAACCTCCCGGGTCCCTCCCTGGCCCCGATCATGCACTGGTGGGGTCCCTTGGCCTGGCCTGTGCCCTCACACAATGTGGGACTGCTCAGGGGATGCTGAAGAGTCGGTTTTGGCCTGATCCCTCAGGCCAGGCCAAGGGACCCTACTGGTGCACAAATTCGTGCACTGGGCCTCTAGCTTTTGTTTGTGTGTGTGTATCTCTTTGGCCCCTTTAGTGTGGCTCTTCCTAAGCCTTAGGAGTACCCTAATTAAGTTAATAACAATGTGCCTACCTATATAGTTTAAGTTTAAAAAATTTGGCTCTCAAGAGAAATTTCGATCGTACGGCTGGTATTTGGCTCTGTTGACTAATGAGTTTTACCAACCACTGAGCTAGGGCAAAAAGTTCTTACTTTTGAATGCTTTAGGAAAATAGGCACACCTGTTAACCACCCTGATGAGATACTATTTGTGTTCGCTACCTAAACTGTTTACTGTTTTTACTGAAAAGTAGGAGTAATTTAACCTTAGCAAAAGTGGCATGAAAATGTGGTGTTAAAGCAGCATTCATAGCATAGCATCTTCAAGTCATTTAGAAGAAATGTTTGGATTATAATGGAGTTCTTTTTTAAAAAATATATTTTTTTATTGATTTTTTACAGAGAGGAAGGGAGAGGGATAGTTAGAAACATCAATCAGCTGCCTCGAGCACATCCCCCACTGGGGATGTGCAGGAGGCGGCTGATCGATGTTTTCTCTCTCATCGATGTTTCTGACTCTCTTTCTCCCTTCCTCTCTGTAAAAAATCAATAAAATACATTAAAAAACAAACAAACAAAAAACCCCCCCAAACCTGTGACCTTTCAGTCTGCAGGTTGACGCTCTATCCACTGAGCCAAACCGGTCAGGGCATAATGGAGTTCTTAAGGGCAGACAGGTGGAAGTATCCCATCCATGGATCATATAGTAAATGAGAAACTGAATGTTACATCTTTATTTTGTTCCCTAGTGAGACATGAGACAGGATGATGTTAGTCCAGCCGTGGGCAAACTACGGCCCGCAGGCCGGATCCGGCCCGTTTGAAATGAATAAAACTATTGAAAAAAAAGACCGTACCCTTTTATGTAATGATGTTTACTTTGAATTTATATTAGTTCACACAAACACTCCATCCATGCTTTTGTTTCGGCCTCTGGTCCAGTTTAAGAACCCATTGTGGCCCTCGAGTCAAAAAGTTTGCCCACCCCTGTGTTAGACTGTCATGTCCTTTCTCTCCCTGCCCCCCGCCCCCTTTCTTTTTTGGTAAGTGGTTTGACAGTTTTATTTAAAAAGTTAAACATAGCCTTAGCTGGTTTGGCTCAGTGGATAGTGTCAGCTTTTGGACTGAAGGATCCGGACTCAATCCCAGTCAAGGGCACATGCCCGGGTTGGGGACTCCATCCCAAAGGAGGGGTGTGCAGGAGGCAGTTGATCACTGATTATATCTCATTGTTGATGTTTTTGTCTCTCTCCTCCCTTCCTATCGGAAATCAATAAAAATACATATTTTTAAAAAAGCTAAACATGGACTTACTACAGAGTCTGGCCATTCCATACCCAGATATTCATCCAAGATAAATGAAGATAGCCCTAACTGGTTTGGCTCAGTGGATAGAGCGTCGGCCTGCGAACTGAAGGGTCTCGGGTTCGATTTCAGTCAAGGGCATGTACCTTGGTTTCCGGTACATCCCCAGTGGGGAGTGTGCAAGAGGCAGCTGATCGATGTTTCTCTCTCGATGTTTCTAACTCTCTATCCCTCTCCTTCCTCTCTGTAAAAAATCAATAAAATATATTTTAAAAAAATAAATGAAGTTATATGTCCAGACAAATTTTTGTATGCAAACATATTAGCTGTATTTGTAGTAGCCAAAATCTGTAAACAACCCAAATATTCATCAGTAGGCACATGGATAAACAAACCTTTTTTCTTAAAGTCTGCTTCCCTCCTCCCCAACTCCCATGACCCACAGCCATCCTTTTGGCTCTGATACTGCTTCTTGATTCTAAACAGCTACATTCCATGAGCTCCTAGGAAAAAAAAAGAACATCAACCTCTTCAGACTGCCTTGCAGTCAGTGCCACATTTACAAAATGGTCTGATCTGTGGTCTTACTCTTTTGACTGGGCCTTGTTGAAGAGTACTCCAAATGCTATCTTGATATATGTCCACACTAGCAATCTTGTTTTTTTAAGCCTCCATTTACAAGTTGATTCACAGTGGGGGAGAGCTGTGTTCAGAAACTTTTTCTGATAGCCTGGATTTTCTTGTCTTTCATCTCTGCTTCTATTTATGTTCTTTGTATCTCTTCTTCCTTGAGCTTGTACCTTCTGCATAGTTGACTATTATATCATCTTTGGGGCTGCAAAATAAAAGTTGGAAGATTTTAAAGTTAAAGTTCCCAGAATAATGTTGTCGCCCACATTGCACATATGTCACATTTTGAGTTTACTAGTTAAGCCTCTAAATATGTGCCTTATATACAGTATGTGCAGTGTGATGACTTAGGTTGCCATGAGAACCTAAAAGTTTTAGGCTAAAATGGTTCAGTAGCAGACACTTTTCTTTTTCTTTTGTTGTCCTAGAGCAGTGGTCGCCAACCTTTTGGAACTCGTGTACCACCGGTGTTCTGTGGACCACAGGTTGGCAACTGCTGTCCTAGAGGAAAGCTTGTTTCTTGTTATCTAACGTACTTTTTACAAATTGAGATATTAGGCA